CTGTATTCAGAAAATAATGTTACTTTTCTCATTAGCGCTGGGGGCGTTCCCAATAGTATTGCGATAAATGGTATTATTGGATTTGCATCTTAAATGTATTGGAAAAACCGGATTTTTAAGGGCGAAAGTCGTATAAAACAATCCTTACGGCTTGTTTAAATGAATAGAACAATAAACACCAATCACCTAGCAGTCAGCAGTTCTCAACAAATTATAAATATTACACCAATTTCGATACGAAGGTATAACGCTTGTCTTTAAATGGTAAAATAACGGTAATTTTACGTTCGTAAAATGCGCTAAAAACTTATACGATATTCAAATTGTACGTAATACATAATATAATGTAATGATATGCAAATATGTACATAATGTGCTAGGGGTATTATCGTTATCACTTTCAATACAATAATCGCTTGTTTACCTCAGAAGTTAATTATATTTAGATTTGTACTTGTACCATAATGACTTCCTAATTATTGTAATCAATATTAATGTTTTATAAGTAAAAGAAAATAAGAAAATATTTGTTAATGTCTTTAGGAAGGGGTTCTATATATATTGCAACTGAATTGTTATACTCAGTTAGTTTCCTGTACAACCTGGTCAAAATGGACGCCACTGAGGCCAAACGTAAAATTTAGTTGAACGTGTATGATTATTTTGTAAAAGAAAAAAATCATGGTGGAGTACTTACTTCAGTAATGGCAGTTCAACAAAGAACAGCGGATGCGGTGCAGGTATCGAAACAAACAGTTGTGAGGACATGTGCTATGCGAGAGATTGGAAGTGATTTAAAAAGAAATCCATATCGCCGTTCTAAACCACGTAGGACGGACCTACTAGAAAATAAAAAGATCCGATATCTGATTTATGATATGTACGCAAATAAAGAGCACGTAACTCTAGATACTTTGTTGGCGGTGATAAAATTGAAAGACTTGTGTGATTTGGGCAGAACAAGCTTGTTCTATGCACTGAAAGAAATGGGCTTTAAATTTAAGATGACCAATAGCAGACGGGGTTCGTGTGAACAAAGTCATGTGGTTTCCATGCGGAATGTGTTTTTGCGAAAATACATCAGAAATCTCGAATCCGAAGTTCCGCATGATTTCGTTTTTTTAGAAGAAACCTGGGTGTTTAGCAGAGGCGCAACAAAGCGTACTTGGCAAGATGACCGCGCTAAAAGTTTGCAACAACTCATAAGGCTTCAGATGGTAAACGATACATAATTATTCATGCTGGTGGCAGAAATGGGTTTATAGAAGGCAGCAGCTTAATATTTTCGAGTACCAACAAATCGTTCGATTACCACGACAATATGAACGCCGAACTATTTGAAAAATGGTTTGAAGAATCTTTCCTAAAGAAACTTGCTCAGCCCTCAATTATTGTTTTAGACAATGCATCTTATCACACGCGGAAAAGTGAAAAGATTCCAAGAGCTTCTTCAACCAAAGAGGAAATTTCGAATTGGTTGAAAATGAAGAATAGACCATTTGGTACTGCGATGTTTAAGGCCGAATTGTTAGAAATTGTAAAAAATCACAGTCAAGCAACCATAACTAAATATGTTGTCGATGAAATGACATTACAATATGGCCACGAGGTTCTGCGTTTGCCGCCTTACCATTGCCATTTCAATCCCATTGAACTGGTATGGGGAATTTCGAAAAAGTTTTACGATGACCATATTGTTGGTACGCCGGGAAGACCAGAAGATGTTCTTAAAACCTGGAACGACGCGTTAGCTAAAGTAACTCCAGACGTGTGGAATCGCTGCGTAACCCATACAGAAGAAATAATCAAGGATACCTTCAATCGTGAAAAAATCATAGACGATGTAAGGGCTTTGGTTTTTACTGTAAATACAGGAAGTGATGAAGAAAGCGATTATTTAAGTGAAAGTGACAATGACAACGACGCGTGAATTCATATGAACTTAATTCATGTCGATTATTATAATAGGTAGCAATTAAGTAAATAATGTACATATTTTCATGTTTATTTGTAACAAATGTTGTAATTTTTAATGTGAACTGCTAAAATACAAGCATGATTTCGTATCGTAACTGGTGTAATATTTATATTCTGTTGAGAACTGCTGACTGGTGGGTGATTGGTGCTTATTGTTCTATTCATTTAAACAAGCCGTAAGGATTGTTTTGAACGACTTTCGTACTTAAAAATCCGGTTTTTCCCAAACATTTAAGATGCAAATCCAATAATACCATTTATCGCAATACTATTGGGAACACCCCCAGCGTTAATGAGAAAAGTAACATTATTTTCTGAATACACTTTTACCAATAATTGCTTTGCATCTAAATGTGAAGTAGGTTATGTACAAGAATTTCGTCTTAGACTATGAAAGAAAGGGGACTGACAATATCCTATCTAGTGATGGGATAACTCGAGTGAAAAACTACTCGAGAACTCGATTATTAAAATAACCGACATCACTCGATTATTAGAAACGAGTACTCGAGTTCTGATCTTGTCGAGTGTTTCGCTCATTTTAGGGAATTCGACTTGATAAATAAATTCATTAATTCAATTCAGTTGCATTCAGTAGATGAGTAATTGTGTTACTCTATTGCAGTTGCAGTCATTCAGTTGTTATTTTTGCAGTTTGTCACATTCGGAAATGAGTCATTTAACAGATGTTTAATATTTTATTTTTAGCACTGCAACTTTCGCTGTAGGTAAGAAGAATTTGTTTGAGGAATACCTACCCAAATATTTAAGCAGAAACTGAAAACAGTAAACATTTAAAAAATAATACAATTGGCCAGGGTATATGAACTATGATCGGTTTTATTTATTTATGACATTATAATTGATAATCAGCAGAATTGGTGTAAATGGAAAAGCGTGCTCGAATTATAATGTAAAGTTGAATATTCGAATTACGAGTACTCCAGCCAGGTACGCGATTCTCGGCGTCCAGAATTAAATTCCTTTACGAATTATGACGTAGGTCGCTACTCGGCTACTCGCTAGCCACGGTTTATTCATTTATTGTTTCATTCATTCAAGTTTTAGTTTACGAGTACTCAGTACTCGAGTGATCACTCGATTATTGAAATCACTCAGTTACTGAGTACTCGATTATTGAAATCATTCGGTTATGCACATCACTAATCCTATCCAGCGCAATGCTGCGCGGTGAAGCCTGAGGCGGCCATATTTTCGGAGCCAAAGTTTGTTTACTTTTTGCTAATTGCGTGGGTGTATTTGCATTTTCCTGTTTATGCGGTCCTTAAATCTCTAAGTGTGCTTTAAAAACATTAGTGGACAATGGTACATTGTAGTGCACGGAAGTGCGGAAGTGATAGCCAAAAAACTCACAAGGAATATCCTTTCACAGGTAATTATAGGTTACTTTAATGTGAGTTGCTTTAAAACTGGTCGTAGATCAATATGCATGAGAAAATAACTTTTAATTTTATTGCCAAATGTAATGAGTATTACAAGTATGCGCACTACAATGGAAAAGATATCGCCTTTATTTTAATTGCTACAGATTTTTTTTTATCGAGTCCATATGCATTGACCAGTGGCGTACGCATTGTACCTATAATATCTTAAACGTAAAAGATATCCATAAATTTGTATCAAATTGATGAAAAAGTTGGAAAGTAATATATGTACAACTTATTACAGATGCACGGAAGATTGTTTGTCGTCCCTCCAAGCTACCACTTGAAGCTAACGATGCTTGATAATCTGCCTGGGACATTCCTATATCAGAAATAGCCCACCATTCTATACTTGCATGGGGAAATGAAGTTGACCATTGTCACAAAAGGAGACGAAGCGTGGTTGGAAGGTTATCCATCCCCGTATTTTACTGGATAAAAATACTACAAACATTTCTACGCCTCTTCGTCTCGCTCTCATAATATGTGAAAGTCGTACGCGTGTGTGGTGCCGAGTTGGACATTCTGGGTTACCATGGACATTTGTGCAGCAAGAATGCGGGTCGCATATCAAGGCATCACAATTTAAATTACTTTTTAAAGTCATTTCAAGACAAAATTGTGTACCTAACTTTATTATGTAAACAAATTTGCATACAAAAAATATTTCTTGTACAATTGTCATTTTGTTAAGTCTGTGTTGTGAAATATACAGTAAAGTATTTTGCAATGTAAACTAAAGTAGTACTATTACTTAGAATTCCCAAAGACGAAAAGATTCGTACCATATGGGTGGAAAATATGAAACAAGAATTCACTTCTACTGCTAATAACGAGCGATCAAAAAAGGATTGATGTCGGGTCACCTTTGGAAGTTCCATTTTAAATATGACTTCCCGTGTAAACAAAAATTCCAAAGGTGACTCGACAGCAACTCTTTTTTGACTCGTAGTAGTAAGTTATCCTCTCTAGACTTTGAAAAGATATGTTTTCTGATAAATGCTTTGACGTCGTTGTTAATGTTCCATGCTGTGCTGACCATTTTTTCTACAACCAAAGGAATTAATTCCTACCACCGCATCTCTCCTCTTCAATCCCTTATCGCGGTCGGTTATAGTTGCTTCTGTCTCGAAAACAGAGTATCAGTGGAGGGTAGGGTGACTGGAATGTCTGGAAGGAACACCCTTGGCGAGTCAAAACTTTACGTCTGATTATTTAGAAAACAATGTGTCGGAGCAGAGTACTTACAAAGGCTTAAAGGATAGCCTGAACTCTGGTGAGGTCGAAATGAATCGCTCCTAAAACGAAGTGTCGGACGAGAGTTCTCATTGAAGGCGTGTGGAACATCTGGACGAGACATATCTATTGTCGATGTGAATATCTCGAAAATGGAGTGTCGGAGGATGGTATGTGCAATATTAAGGAGGCTTTCTGTAAGGATTTCATTCTTCTCACATTACTTTTTTAATATGTGGGTCATATTCATTCATCATCTAGTGAAATAGCAATAAATTTTGCATGCTAGTAAACAATATTGAAAAAAATTCGCTTATCTGTACAAGAGATGCTCACAATTTTTTAAAATAATACGTTTGTATTGTATTTACTTTACACAAATGTACCTACCATTGCCGTTTTAACGTTACGCCAATGAACTGTAGGCGGCCATGATTTGGGTGAAATAACAAACAAATGTGACGTAATGTGGGCTTCACTTTACGATGATTATTGTCACTCCTCACTCTTTCCTTCTCTAAGAATTTCGTAATATAAAGATTATTACCCAGTTATGGTAGAGTCATCCTTATTGCTTTTATAACTTCACAATGTGAAAGAAGAAAAACAAATTGTAATAAATACGTAAGTACTATAAACCTTTCGCCAGGAAAGATTGCCGGTCATAGAACACTTGATCCCGGCCTACAATCTATGTTTTTCTAAAGATGTGAGCGACTTCCGGGATAGTATCGTGTCAATGTTGAACAATAAGACTTTTCGTTCAACATTGGCACGATACTATTCCAGAAGTCGCTCGCATCTTTAGAAAAACATAGATCGTAAATCGACACAAGGTGTGCTGTGACCGGCAATCTTTCCTGGCGAGAGTTATAGTTAAATTAATCAATTATAGTGAGTAGGTATCGTGCGCTTTATTGATTCAAAATGTTCCTGTAATATAGGACAACCTTTTTTACACGCAAACCATAATTATTTTTGGCAATCGCATCCTTTCAGTAGAGCTAATACATCCGCGGAATCTAAACATGGCTTAATGTCACATTTATCAATATTGCTTATGTACGTTTCTATGCACTTTAATCGCTTTACTTCCTCTTCCACTTTAGAAATCTGTTCCTTCCTGAAGCTTCTTAGAAATTGAGCAACCTCATTGTTGGTACGCGACCCCTTGTTTGGCGTACTGGTTACGATTTTTTCCATCGCGCTCAGTTCGTTGCTATCTGGCGTCGGCACAAGTGTACGTTCTGATGGAGTCCCCTTGTATTTGACCATTTCGGTATAGTTGATGGAAAATGATTTTTGCTCTTGTAAAATTTTACTTGGGGTGGTTTGACTTACAGCTGACGCTGACACTGTCTCGTTAGGTTTTAAGGATTTCATTGCGTCGGCCATATCTGCGTATTGTTTGATTAATGCTTCTTCCATAACTTCTATACATACGAATATATCGGGCGGAGGATCTCCCTTTGTATTTTTAATTCCTTTTAAAAATGACAATGCCCACTGAATCTGCGCTACACCTAAATCTTTATGTTTATTTTACTACTAACCAATTGCCCATACCAAGTGGTTTTTCCGTTGGTTTTTCCGAAAATAAACTCCATACGACAGCTAAAGTATGATCTAATTGTACATAAAAGGGTGGACATTTTGCAATACCTTTCCCACCTGGGTATACGGTACTGTCATTTGGTAATCTAAACGTGTATGGAATCGGAGTATATTCCTTGGGAGTTCTTATATTTTCTAAGGATTCCATGAATATTAAATATGTATTTGTAACCACGAAAATTTATTGCGAAGTTTGACATTGACATACCTAAAATGGAGCAACCTTTGTTTATAAATATTTCATTTTATGTTGGCGCAGATACTTTAAATGTTAAAAGTTACGCTTCGCCTTCCCCTTCCTCGGTAATATCTTCATCAGCTTCTATAACATGACTTGGTCTTCGTTCGTCATATGCAATAATATCTGATTCAGTGTCCCCATCATCTCCTTCTGCTGCGGTATTTGATTCCGTTGCCGTGTCTTCTTCAGCGACGTTTGCTTCCGTTACGATATCTTCATCGCATACGCACGTTCCTACTACGGCATGTACTAAACCCGGTCGTAGTAATGCGATGTGGTCCAAAATACCTTTGACATTTGGAGGATTTTTTCCTAAATTATCTTTAATTCGAGACAAATAATTATCTGCCCATATGAAATACTCGTCTGGAATATCGGTTGCGTCTGTGGCCATCATCATTACGCAGCTAATTGTAACAGCAAGCATTTCATCGCATTCTTCTAGATGTACTTTGGACTTTTTCAAACCAAACACCGGATCTTTTAGACATTCATTTATGCGTAAACCTCTCGAACGGGAGTGCGTTGCCTTGTTTTCGCTGTAAATTTACTCGTAAATTTTGGGTCGCGGATCAATCGGAAAGGAAACCTGTCACCTTTCGTGAGAGGGTTCAAGTGAAACATAACCTCCGGCACGAGGTTTGACTAAACATGCTGACAAAGCTGTTGGTAATGCGGGAACCGACGAACTTCTTGGAGATATTAGTAATGGTATTTTCGACATCTCTGCACGTAAAACAAGTACCATAAATTTATCTTTGAAGTGTCAAGAAACAGCCCGTGAATCTGTCACTTCTGTGAGAAAACAAACGCCAGTCGTAAGTCCAGTAAGGTTTGTTCGATCTCGCATGAACCATATTTAACCCTCCATCCTCTCCTTATTTTACAAGACAGAGAGCACACATTTGAGCAAATTTTTCGATTTTTACGATCATACTGTATTCATCATATGATTATGCGGGTCACTCTGTAATTGGGCGCATGCCTGTTGAGGGCCCAAAAACAAGAGAGGGATAATAATAATAATAATAATAATGATTCCATATTATAAAATTTTAGAGACTATTCAATTCATCTAACATTTGTCACATTTCGATCAGTAAAATGTCAAGATTTCAAATTGTTGAACCAATGGGAACGAATTATAGTGAATATTTCCCTCATATGTCATAAATGCCATATGAGGTGTGCAATTATCGCTCAATTACAGCGATAATTGCACTGTAGAAAGCGAAAGAGCCCTGCGAATTCAGAGTTGGACTGGGTCAAGCATAGAGTGACCCAGTGACCCGGTGACCCAGTTAGTTTACTGACCCGGTGACCCAGCTTGACCCGGTGACCCAGCTTGACCCGGTGACCCAGCTTGACCCAGTAACCCAGTTTGACCCGGTGACCCAGCTTGACCCGGTGACCCAGCTGACCCGGTGACCCAGCTTGACCCGGTGACCCAGCTTGACCCGGTGACCCAGTTTGACCCGGTGACCCAGCTTTGACCCGGTGACCCAGCTTGACCCAGTGACCCATCTTGACCCAGCTTTACTCAGTGACCAGTCTTGACCCGGTGGCCCAGTAATTAAATTATTGTTAGGTATCATCCAAAACAATTTCAAGTAACTTTTAATTAAAAAAAAAACTTCCTCAATAATATTCGGCAACAAGCACGTAGCCCAATTTCATTCAAGAGAACTAATACCTAAAAAAATCAAATGCATTTGTTTATAGTTTGTAGTCAAGTAGTCAATGAAAGTATTTAGAGGAAAGATTTATTTGGATTAAGCTAACTAGTAGAAAAAAATTAAATGTGAATGAACACCTGTAAGCAAACTGGTAAGCCCTGAAGCAAAGAAATAACATTATTCTAATACAATTCGGGACATTGAAAGTTTTTTACGGCAGTATTAAAGCAAACATCACATAAATGGCAGTTGTCAAGCAATCGAGTATTATTTTCAACAAACCAGCATTTCATTTATTTCATAATCTGTACACTTGAACCGAGGGCACTGACTTAACTGCGTTATTCGATCAAACTAGGTGACTGGGTGGAATTGGGTCCCCGGGTGAAATTGGGTCGCTGGGTCAAACTGGGTCACTGGGTCAAGTTGGGTCACTGGGTCAAACTGGGTCACTGGGTCTAACTGAAAAGAGTATGACGTGACCCAGCGACCCAGTGACCCAGTTTAATTTAGTGACCCAGGTGACCCAGTCCAACTCTGCCTGCGATAATTGCACTGTCCATATCCACGGCAATGGCAACTGGCAACTCCTTTGGACAATTTCACAATACACCGACAATTTATAAGTAGGTAACGTCAGTTCAAGCATGTTGTTAGTAAAAAACTGCATTCGGTCATTTTCATATATTGTTAAAAGACCGACACCGAAGGTGGAGGGCTCTTTCGCCAAAATATGAAAATAAACTCATGCAGTTTTTAGACAACATGCTTTCAAAAAAATTATCGGTAATTTTGATGCACTTGTGCAATTACCTACGATAATTTCACGTGTGGTATTTCAGCGACAATTCAATGCGATTATTCAATGACATTTGTCAAACTTCCACCAGTGAAATGACGCGAAATTTTGTCGTATTAACCGGAACATTCTTCTTAGTTTGTTAGTCAATTTCGACAACCGACTTATCACCACATCTTTTAATTTAATCACTCATAACGAATTAGCTTGGAGCACAAAAGTTCGAATAGAATCAATAGCAAAATGAAAAGCAACTTCCATAATTTATTTTGACGTTTATTGTTGTCATGGAAATACATTCGCGTGGGTAATTATGCTTAATTTTTCTTTTGATTCATTGAACAGTCCTCCGAATACCATTCGTAGTCGAAGTATTTGTAGATTATTTTTGAGCTGCTGCTCCACTCATGCTAGTTACGCTTTTTAATACCACTCGCGCAAGCGCTCGTGGTATTAAGCAGCGTAACTAGCATTCGTGACAGCACCTCAAAAATATTCGACAATACTTCGACTACTTATGGTATTATATATGACAATTCAACTCATGTATAAAAAATCGCATAAGCCGCAGTGCAATTGTCACTTTAACAGCGGCAAAAGTTACCTGCAACTTTTCCAGCGACAAATGCACTAGTGGTTTTTTCACTTATTGATTTTGGAACAATTATCGCATTATCCTTTCTCATTTATGACTAGTTTGACGTCTGTCAATAATTGATTAGTTTCGTGAATTTCTTGTTCGTTAAATTGTCCTGCCGAATTACACTCGAGGTTTGTATTTAAACCGCGTAATTTTGGGTTGTGGCAATTTTTAATTTGATCACTCATAACGAATTAGCTTGGAGCAAAAGTTCGAATAGAATCAATAGCAAAATGAAAAGCAACTTCCGTAATTTATTTTGACGTTTATTGTTGTCATGGAAATAATGTCAAGGTTTCGGGATTATTACGTATAAATATACATTCGCGGGTAATTATGCTTAATTTTTCTTTTGATTCATTGAATAGTCCTCCGAATACCATTCGTAGTCGAAGTATTTGTAGATCGTTTTTGAGGTGCTGCTCCACTCATGCTAGCTATATTTATTTCATACTGTCCGGTATATGTTCGATTACACTATCATTTTGAGTCCGGTAGGTGAGTTATTACCTAATAAAACAACCTTGAGTTATTACAGCATCAGAGCCGGTAAGTGTCGCTAAGCAACACTTACCGGACTGTTATTTGTATACATCAAATTGGACATCTTCACACAATTAATTACAAACCCCAACATAAATTTGGCTGTAATTCTTTATTTCAAACATTAACATTGATTGTAATGAAACAATTTGTATTGCCCTCAACACTAACGCCTGGGTTATTACTGGATGTCGAGTTAGTAATGTTTGATTCCTTCTGCTGTAGAACTCCAATGAAATTTTCGCCGCCTTGTATCAGTTGTATCATACGGTCAATCTTAACTTTTCCTTCTACCGAGCCTTCGATGTATTTTTTGCCGTCGATGAGCTTTTCCATGCCCCATGACGCTTTAACACCGAAACCCAGGCAGAAAAATCTCAATTCAAAAACTTACTGCGTCCAAAAAGTATGCCAACATGACTTTTTCCTCTACTTGTTTCGCCCCATGTTCGTTCTTCCATTGGCAAAACACTTAGTACTCGTTTTCATACCTTGCGGCCGACTTCTTATAGGAACCAACTTTTCGGTTGCTTCATGAGATTTCGACAGGATTGTATCGGGAACAGTGGAACATCCCACCATCATCCCACAACGTTTATAGCGTCCATTTTTAGTGAAAAAAATTCAATGTAAACAAACTACAAACTATAGCAACGGCGGTTGCCACAGAAAGAAGGTAATGCGATTTTTACAATTTAATGAAATTTTGTAATCTTTGAAATGAAATAATGATACAGAACAGACTTACAGTATGAAATAAAATACGTTACGATATACGTCCGGTAGTACTTGTAACAGTACTCGTTTAAGACATTCTCGATTCTTGACTCGGCTCCTGACGTCGCCTCGTCCATAATGTCTAACTCGTACTGTTACAAGTAACCTACCGGACTTATAACGTAAATAACTATTTATTTGGCGTTGAGCGCACAGACTATAGTTCGTTTCACCAATAATTTAACATTTCTCATTAGGTCGTTAAGTAGCGGGAATTCCCACTGCGACATTTAAAACAATAGGACAATAGGACATTTAATTAATAAAATTTTAATGTTTAAAACGCCAAATTGTAATTGGGGAAACTACTTGGAATGTGTCAACCTATTTAATTAATACATTAATATGGTATTGTGATGTACCCAAGTCGACAGCTCCCGCGCTAACGAAAGCGGGAAAAACACGAACTCGGAACACCTGCGTAGTAACACAAACCTCACACTCGACAATGTCCGGAACCCCTACGTTGTGGAAGGCCAGGTCGCACTCACTCGTACCCATGCTAATTATCGGAAAGGCGGAACGCAAATAATACGCTTAATTGAAATTGAAACACAAATAAAGTTTATTAAAGAACTGATCAAGAGTGTAAAAATGAATCAAAAGGCCGAAAGACATCCTACAAATTTAGACAGAATACATTTAAAGCCAAAAAGTGCCAGGTTCCACTAGAACTCGTCGGACAAAAGAACCGTGCTAAAGAAAATTCCGACTCACTGTTCACAGAGGTGAAATCTAGAGGGAAAATCTGGAGAATGAGAGGTAACATTGGATAACGTTAAACACATTTTACAACACAGCTACAATAGTTATACAAAGAATAATAATCCGAGTAAGTAACTCTTGAATTGGACAGATTGAAATCTGACGTTAGTACAATACAAACTTGATAAGTTAAAGGATGGCCATTACAAGTAGATTTAAAAAGCACCTTCAATCCTTTCTCATGTGTGAAAGATACATTCCGAAGTCTCTTTACATAAAGTGCATAAAATAAACATCATTAATTAGCCAGACCTCCTCCAATCTAGCAGGTATCTAAGATCCTGGATACGGTAACCTTAGACTAAAGTTGTCGTTCGAAATACATGCCGCTAAGTATCTTTATCACTCCGGCATGTACCTCTGCAAGGGCGAAATGGTTAATTACACTAAAAAAAAGGCAGATTCATGCACAAAGAATTGGAGTCGCTAATCAATCTAAATGGGTTCAAAACAAACACATGAAAATTGATAACTGGCCAATCTTCAACAAATCAAACAGGAACCACTTTTACATGAAAGCAAATTACACCAAATTTAAGAATCACTTTACCCTGCATTACAACTAGCTGAAGGCAACATAATCTACAATATAAATCAATTACAAC